AGAGAGAGAGAGAGGAACGATGGTGGTGGAGGAGGAGCCCGATGGCAATACAACAATATGATTATACGGCGTGCTGCACCGGTTTTCTGCAGCAGCTGCCGTCGTTTTGGGAAACAGTGCGCGTGTGTGCGTGAGAGAGAGAGGGGGGAGGGAGGGAGGGAGACGAGGAAAGGGCCCCGTTCGGGCGAAGCGGTGCACTGACACGATAGTGTGGTGCTGGGTAGTGGTAGTGGCAGGTGGGGTGGGGGTTCCAGAGCGGGGAGGAGAAATAGGAAAAGAACGTAGGGCCCGTTTTGCAGGGCCTGTGCACAATATGAGTGTGAGAAAGATGGAGCGAAAGAGCGTGGAAAGGAGGAAAGAGGGAAAAAAACGGGAGGACCCCTTCTGTAATCCTCTACTCTCTCTCTCTCTCTTTCTCTCTATACCTGCAGCATTGCAGAAACACGAAGGCAGAGGCCCACGAAAAATACTACCCTACCATACCTAGGTTCTGGCAGGCAGTTTCGATCCTCGCAAGAAGTAAAACTGGCTCCCTTTTCAGTCCGTTACCGAGGCTTAAATGGAGGTCAGGGTCCCTTCTCTCCTTGCCCTTTTCTTCTTCTTCTTCCTCCTCCTCCCTGTGGTACCTTTCCTTCTTCTTTCGGCACAGTATATTCGCACCAGCGGTTAGTGCCTCGTTTCTGTTCTCGTTCCCCGGCTTGCCGGTTTTCCCTGGTTCGCACAGGGGTCCGGGCAGAAAGGGAATTTTTATCTGTTCCCTTTATATATACATGTATATGTATATATATATATATATATATGCAGGAAGGAGTCATCGATTCAAGGGAAACGAGGGGTACGGAACAGTATTTGAAGTAACGGGTCCGGTAGAGGGAGAAACGGTTTATTTTTGTCTTTCTTTCTTACCATCGCGCCTAGTCGAATACCTACGAGCGAAATTTTTTTCTCGCGAACGCGGATCTGCACGTGGCCGTGCGCGCATGTTGTTGCGCATTTTACGAAGATCGCGAAGCGACGCGATTCGTCGATGGGTCGTACAATGGGATATTAAATTCTAAACGGCTACTTTTTCCTCGCTCCTTATCTTATACCGAGAAATATTTCATCTTTTTTTACGATTTTACACGTTCGGTTTAAACTTTTGCCTTTGCACGAATCCACTAATCCAATCGAGGAAACGATATCATTTGAAAATACGAGCAAAATTATCGATTGCAGATCCTGTGACGAGAATCATCATTTTGTCTAAATGGTGGTAAGCCTGTGACGTGATTAACCGTTGACCAAAGTACCAGAGAAAGGTGTCAAAATTGAGCAGGTCGTCCTCCCGTCCGGCGGTGATCTCGCCAAAATTTGGAGGATGTTGATGCCCGGTGCTGCTGGTCTCAGTGCCGTAGGCGCGGTGGGCGCCGTTGGGGCGCCAGGGCCGGACGAGCTGGTGTCGGGCCTTGGCGCTTTGGCCGGCACTACGCCTCAACAGAAGGATACCACTTGGACGAAACTTTTCGTCGGTGGTTTGCCGTATCATACCACCGACAAGAGTCTCAGGGAACATTTCAACGTGTATGGGGACATTGAAGAGGCAGTGGTCATCACTGACAGGCAGACCGGCAAAAGTAGAGGTTACGGTTTCGTAAGTATTATTATAACTTTTTACTTTTTATTTATTTATTCTTTTTTTTGCTGATTAGTTTCTTTTTTCTTTATTTTCGTTGATTGATAGTCGTTGCTGTGAGAGCTCGCTTTGTTGAGTTTGAGAGATAGCTTCGAATGAGTAGTTTATCTATTTTGTATTGTGTTGTACACGTGTAATTTTTAACGGCACAGAGTTTTTCAAGTAACAGAGGAATAAGGGATGATAAAAAATTATTAGAAATTTTGCTACCATGGAGAACTGGTTCTCTCAACCGTTGCCCTTAATAGTTTTTAAACGTTAAAAGTAGGCGTGTGTTGAACGTGCAAAGATAATTCGTTGGGATAATATAACCAGTTCGTTCACTTATATTCAAAAGGATTTAACTGTTTCCTTAGAACTTCCGGTAGATGGTTCTTTTTTTCCCCCTTCTTTAAAAACATATATATATTCCTTTTTTATCACACGTACGCGACTTATGCAAAGGATGATATGCAAAATACGCGAGTGTGTCAACGTTCTTGCTAACGAAATTCTCTTCGAATTGCTCGTTGTTGCCGATCGTCGCAAAAAAAAAAAAGTAAATAAATAAAACCGATTACAAATCTCTCGTTGGAGATCGGCTATTATTATCGAGTTATTCGAGAAAAGTAAATAATTTTAAAATCATAAACAAAAACTAGAGGTAAAGATAAACTAAAACAACGCGTTCCACGTCACAAGCCGAATCGAAGCCTTCCGCCGGAAGTTTTGAACAAAATTCGGAATGTTATCCGCATCAACCATCCGTTAACAAAATTCATCACTTAGATTACATCGAAACAATAACATCTCTTCTATTGCAAGGAATTGTCTTTTTTTACGAAAAAAAAAAAAAAAAAAAAAAGATCTCTTTGCGCACAATCTCGTAAATTTTATCATCTTGTACATCGTGATCACGTGACGGAGGGGCACACGTGCAAGATCGAGGCGAGGTGGAAGAAGGATTAAATACGAAATAATCGATCGGATCTGTATGCAGGTGATCATGGGAGACAGGCCAGCGGCAGAGAGGGCGTGCAAAGACCCGAACCCCATAATCGACGGTCGCAAAGCGAACGTCAACTTGGCGATTCTTGGAGCTAAACCCAGGGGTAATCTGCAAGCGAGTAAGTATTCGTGCTCAAACAACGTTGATAGTTTGCAAAACGCTTATCGAATGAATTGTTGCGAATTTTTTTTTGTTATTAGGTAGACAGATTCGGCGATATTTGATTTGTTTTCCTTTTTTGTCTTGGGGTGCTTTTACTTTTGTTTCTTCTTCCCCTCCTCTCCCCTCTTTCTCTTTCTTACTCTCTCGATCTAATCTTATCGATTCCTCTCGATCACGAATCACGCGCATCGGAATTGACTCGATTCCAAAAATGTTATTTCGAGGGATCGATTAATTTCCGGGGCGAATGTCATTTCTAAACTTTCGGCCGATTTTTGCGCATCATTGTCGCGGGTTTTACGCCGTTGAAACACAGCCAAATGAGCGTATCCCATTCGTCACGGATAATATATACCCTCTTGTGACGTGCGGTTATAATTCTACGTGATATACGCGCGGTCCAACTTTTTCCCCCGCTGCGAAACTTATTATCAAAGCTTAAGCCCAATCTTGATGAGATCGGTTACAATTTTTGGAAAACCACGGTAAAGGCTTCAGCTGTAAAAGTCGAAGAAGAAAGAAAAAAGGAAGAAATAAATTAAGAGATATCCGTGTTTTACAATCCGATTTGCGCAAGTATTTAAATTTCGCCGCGCTCCGAATCCGAAGATTTGGAACACCGATGAAAGGGCAAAAGGCGGCAGCAGTGAGTGTAGCGCCGTTTCTGCAAATCGAGGACCCGCGCGCTCCCCTCGAGATCACTTTCTTGAACTCTCCGAGCGATGGCTCCGGGCCAACATTGCTTGGCGCTTCAGCACCTAAGTCTAAAATTGCCTTAACCCGAGTTTATGCGCCGCCTTCGTCCGTCCGTCCGTCTCCCCTCCACCCCTCTTTCCACCTTTCAACGCGCGAAACTCAATTCTCAAGCCTGAAATTGGCCCTACGATATTTATTAAGAAAAGTATCTCTTCCATTCTCGATAATATGCGTGAAAAGGCGAGGAAGAAGCGTGCGCGCATCGATGCGCGCGCACACACACGCGCACGCGCGGTACGCGCTTGGAAAAAATTCTTTTTTCCCTTTCCAATTTACGTTTTTCACATCTTAATTTATTCGCTGACGCTGACGAATTTGCGTCAAGCCGCGTTGCGTTTTCCGATTGCGCCGAATGCGAATCATCCTTCTCCTCCCCCCAATCGAATGTTTCTTCGCGAATTTGTAAAAAAAAAGTTTGTAAATTTACAAAATTGTTTCGATTTATTTAATCCACGCATCCACGCTCTCACGGTTCTACTACCAACTCCTCTTGATTTTCGTGTTGCCACGCGACGCGTGATATTCACTTCGAATCGTACGAATCGTATTCCTATTCTATCTCGCGATAGAGAAAGCGCGTCATTACCAAAGTACGAGCGTATGCAAATCGTGTTATATATTCGTATGTACTACACCTCTCTTTGTAACGAGTAAGTTCAAGAACGAATCGATTAACGATTCTTGACGATTTTTTCTTCGATTCTCTCGATCCGTTCTTCGAACACTTTTTAATTATATATATATATATATATATATATATATATA